TAGTTCCCTTTTTGTATTGCCTTATTCTCACCTAATTTCTCCTTGGCCGTATGCAAAGAAATAAAACAAAACAAGGGCGGTCATGTGTTTTGAATAGGAAAGAAAAGGACCGACTAAGGTGTATTGGGACAAGGGAGAACCGACTTGGATGACTTAAGAATTCAGAATTTTACTTGTTTATTCCTTCCTTGGCTCCACCTCTTGCTTGAATTGCTTTCCATTTGCTCTTTAATTTCCACCATTTGGAAAGACAATGAAACCGACTTGATTGTTTAAAGCAAATTAGAATTCTTTTCTTTTGATTATCACTTGGAAGGCACAAGAAGCCGACTTGGTTTAAGCATGACAAGGATTTTACCTTTTTACTTCTTTCTTTTTGGTCCCACGCTAGACACAAGGTTGCACCTTGTTGATTAATTTCCACCGCTTAGAAGGACACCAAACTTGCCGACCTTATTGTTTCCATTTCACTTAGGATTTTCTTTCTTTTTTATTCTTCTTTTGGTCACCGCTTGAAGGGAATTGCCTTCCACCACCAAGCACTTGCTTCATTTGTTTATCAATTCCCTTGTCAACTAATGAAATCAAAGGCCAGCTGAATCCTCACCATCACCACCTAGGGAATTCAAAGGGGTTTGTTATCTCACTTAAGACAAGGCAATGAAACTAACAGTGAAACACCAAAAAGACTTAGAAATTGATTTGGAAATGAATCACCTACTTGGGAGACCAAAAATATACCATTTAGTTTATATTTCCTCTACATACTTTAGTTTATACTAAGTAAAATTAATTGGTAACAAGGTTAACAACAATTTGTCAATTAACCGTTTTACGTATTTCGACTTTCTTTTCAGGATTTTCGCTAATCCTTCTCTTTAATTCTCATTTAACATATTAATATTTAAACTTAAAAATGTGAGGTGTTATACAATGCCAAAACCACGCAACATTCGGCCTATTGGCCTCGGCATATAACCTACAGGTTCTCATCCAAGGAAGTTTTTCCAGAACAACAACCAAGGCACCCAACACCAATACACCCGAGACTTTCCTAGAGTGCTCCTCAACAGATAACAACTTCATGAACCGGAACTCCCTCATGAAGACCTATCAAGTGGAACTCTGTAATGTCTGAAGGCAACTATCTACTGGCCAGAGATACGATACATCCTATGTACCCAATATATATACTTATGCATGAGCATGTTATAATTACACTATTAACATACACCTCCAACCACTACCCCCAAGGGCATGGTGGGCACAAACAAGGATTAACCCCAGTACCAAAGGGTTACCTTGTTGAAGCTCCCTCTCTAGGTAACTCCAATGCAATGTACCATCGAGTTTGGTCCAACCAGAAATGCCTACACACAGGTCATTCTCATTTCAATTAAAAACCACATAACCACATACACTTGGTTATTCAAGAATTCATGCACTTTTCGTAAGTACTTACCACAATCCTTTTGGTCAAGAACCAAAGGCAATCCACCAAGTTCACCGTTCAACGTTCACGTCCGTGAGAGGTAATCGACAATGACCACACAAGGATCATCAATACCATGCAACTCAAGTTGAATTACAAGACAAAAAATTTCCAATCCCTCATACATAGCTTCGGCCATTTGGCCTCAAGATACCTAACCATGTTGTTAATTTTATTACAATATCCCAATGGTTTCCTAAGCCCACCATAACACCAATTCAAGCCCTTAATTCCATTCAATCCTATCTCCACACCATTTTCCTTAACTTACCCCATTATGGCCGAAATGCACACACACACACACACACACATCCAATGATTTTTATTTCAATTCAACTACATCACACCAACGCACAACCTATTTAAACTTAGCTCCAAGCCTCACAATACCAATTGCATGGATTTTACATCATCCATCCTTATCTCTCCTCACATGGCCGAATTGTTCATGTCCATATACTTAGGGGTATTCAATCTAATTTCACACTTCCACACATCATACAATCCTATAATTAACTCATACAAATACTCCACAACTCAATTACACAATCCTACAATCATTCCATTTCACAAAGTCTTGAATTTCTATCATGGATTTTGCCTAAGTTACCAAATATTTCATCAATAATTTTTGTGAGTTCAATCACTATAAAACATCATTCTAAGACACTTTTATCTAATACATATTTTCAATTTGAGGTCCCCAATCCCATCAATCATGTAACAGCCCATTGTACACTGGTATTGTTATCATTGATTATGATATTAAGCATAGTTACAATCACAACAGTTCATTTACAAAAATACGAGTAAACTTTTTCCTTTTCATTACGCGAGAATTTAAAATAATAATAAAGCGTATTGTATATTTTGATATAAGCTTCTTATTAGTATTTTATTTATTTCTTATATAATGTGAACTCTGCCCATCATAGTTTTCATGATAATGATGGCAATTCTACCTGGCAATATGCCACATCTAGTAGTTACTTATCATCTTATTGACAAACATTGGACAGTTTGTGGTATTTCAAGTTCCACGTTGGATTTTATGAGGGATTAATTAATGGTGTGTAGGCACTAGCAGCTAACCACTAAACACAAACATCTACAAGGAGATAACTACTAAGAACATTAACAACTTAGACTAGCCTTTTATGCCATGTGATTTGACATTTTGGTTGGGTTTCAGGCGTGACTGACATTATGCCTTGCTAATTAGTTCCCTGTCACTTTAGATAATTAGAGATATAAAGGTGAAATTAAAATTTTAGTCCCTATAGTCTTTTTCTTTTTAAATCAATCCTCATACTTACAAATGTGTTCAAAATACTGCTATCAGTTTCCATTATAATTGGGTCAGTTGGTTCTCCTGATAGGTATTTCTTTAGACTCCACCATCTCCAAAGTTGAAGAGGGCTTTTGGGAGATGTTAGCAGAGCATCACTCCACTCATTATTCCTCCAAACATACCCTTCCATGCGCTACTTCCGACATTATCTTGGACTTTTCTTTTAGTCCTTTTCTACTTTAGTATTGCTTTTGCCTCTTCGTACCAAAAAATGGGATAGATATGCATGTGCTTCCTTCCCCCACATACACGGCCTATGAAACTCCTTTAGATTGGCCAATCAACATCTTCTTTTTGGACTTTGCAGCCTTTCTGCCGATTCTCATTGAAGAAGTAAAATTGGGAGGGCCAGTGTATTATCGCTGGATGTATCCAATTGAGAGGTACAATTTTTTGTTGTGCTTAACTCATTTATTGTTTTTTGTGTTGTATCAATATTAAGTGATTGTGTTGATAACATTATTCTTTTGTGATGATAGGGCTTTAGGGCATTTTAAGTCTCTTGTATGGAATAGGGCACAACCAGAAGGTTCTATTTGTGAAGCTTATTTAGCTGAAGAGACTTTGAATTTTTATTCACAATATGAAAAAGTTGAGTCAAGGATGAATAGAGGTCGGCGTGTTGATGATCGTCCGAATGATGATAGAACATCTCAAAAGTCTTCTATCTATCATCAATTAGGTAAACCCGTAGGAAGTTCATCAACTTTCACTCTTACTCCATTAGAGAAAATGCAAGCACATCGATATTTGCTACTGAATTGTCCAAAAGTCATTCCATATGTTGAGTAAGTGTTTTTGTATATTTCATGTGGTAAGAGTAAGAATATTGCCATGTGATATTAACATAGTTATTTTTTAAAGTGAATTTAGAGCAAACATTAAGAGAAGGACAAGGGGTCGGAGACCTTCAGCCACAGAAATAGAAAAGATAGTTTCTAAAGAATTTGCAAATTGGTTTCCTCATCGGGTAAATTAAATTTTAATTTTTCTTGAAAAATTCAACCTACTTTTGTAACTAAAATAATTGATTTTTAATGTAGGTTATGAATCCTGACATTTTAGACTCAGTTACAGATGAAATAAAGTTTCTGGCAAGGGGTCCAATGCTACAAGCACGAAGATATACTGCATATAACATAAATGGGTTTAAGTTTAGAACTATAAATCGAGATAAGGGTTTGAAAACTCAAAATAGTGGAGTCTTTCTAACTTCAAACACATCTTGTGTTGCAAGTAATGCTGATGCAAATATGAGGAGAGCATATTTGCCATACTATGGAAAGTTCGAAGATATAATTGAACTCAACTATTATGGTTTTTTCAAAGTAATCCTATTCAAGTGTAAATGGGCAGATACCACACGTGATAGAGGAATCAGAAAAAATGCATGGCAATTTACTTCAGTGAACTTCTCTAAATGTATTCACACTGGTGAACGTGAAGAGCATGGCCCATATATTGAAGCTTCACAAGCACAATTGGTGTATTATGTGGATGACGAGATAAATAAAGGTTGGAGTGTTGTTGTTCACATGATGCCAAAGGATTTGTATGATATGGGGGAAGATGTTATTTGTGAAACTGAGCCATACCAAGAGACCTAAGAAATTTATTCTCAAATGAAGCTGACACAATAACATTGGCTAGGGAGGACGTTGATAATGAATTCATAAATATAAGCCATGTTGAAAATCAACTTCCTGAAGATGAAAATATGTCCGAGTGAAATCAAGAATTGGTTAAGGAGGGTATCAATTACAAGGAGATTTAGTTTACAATTTGGCAACTTTTTTGTTGTATTTACAATTTGGCAACTGTGTTCTTTTTTTTGTGGTTGAAGAAGGATTATCTGAAACCAAACTTTGTATGTGCAAAATGAGAAATTACACAATTGAGATTCAATACACTTAGAGAATTTTTTTTGCATCTAATATTATAGTTTGTATTTAAATTTCCTTCTGCTGTTATACTAAGTTAGTAATTGGAGTGAGTAACCACTCAACAAACTTACAATTTGCTTACTCTCTTTTTCCTTTTTGGTATTTGTTGGTCGTAACCTTATTTATTTCACTATGTTGTTATTTTTGTACAATATTGGATTGATAATACTTTTCTTGTGTATTGGTTGTCTTATATACATAAAGCAATTTAGACATGCCTCCAAAAGCAAAACGTTCAAGGAATGATGTTGCATCATCAAGTTCCAGCATGCATATAGAGCCACCACAAACCTTTGTTTATTCATCAATTCCTACTGAACTACCACATCCCCCAGTTCGTCCATCTCATGTACGACGTGAGCCTAAGAAGAAATGGACTGTACAAGCTATAGGTAATAATTTTTGGTTAGTTGTGATTATTATATTATCATTTAAGCTAACTTGGATATGTTTCAATAGATGAAGAAGGAAATGAAAAGAAAATTCAATTGACCACATCGGGTGTGTTTGAGATGAATGGTCAACGCATAATAGTGCCATTTGATACACAAATGCAACCATATGGGGAAGTTGCAACACTCTTGTCAAAAGTATGTGGACGTATTGCCACTGATTGCAACAATGTTCCCATTAACTACGAAGGATGGGATAAAGTACTTGATTCATACAAGACAGAATGCTTTAAAAGTTTGAAGGTATATGCATACACCTTTTTTCTGTATTGTACAAATTAATTAAAAGATTATGATCCTTCATTTATATTTCATAATATCCTTCATATATTGCAGTACCTGGTGAAGAACAATCCAATTTAAAGCTTTACATGCAAAGAATATTCAATCATTTTCTTCCCTACTTTTGTTTGTTCAAGTTGTTGAAATTTTCATTTTTTTTCTTCTCTTCTTTTATATTTTTGTTCATCTCACCTTGTATTACTGGATTTTTCTTCATCAGTTTCGTAGCTGATACAATGATATCTCTTAACCATACCTTTTCTTTCAAAGTCAAATTGCATTTTCTGAATTTTATGGTTTCCTTTCTTGCTAATTGACATTGAACTTGTTTTTTTTTTTGCTGTAAAAGGAAGGTGCATTCAATTAGGACACTTATGAGCCTCCACACTTAAGTCGTAAAAGAATTATTTGTTTTTAGGGACACTAAAACTTGAGATTAAGAATAACCAAAAGAAAAAACGAATAAAGCTAAACGTACAGCGCAGAGTATAATTAGATCAAAATGTGAGCCATGACCACAGATAGTGCAACAAAGAAAAAAGGTAAAAGAAAAAAGCACTTGCTTGCTTCATTGACACTTTAAACCTCAAAACTAATATTTATGTTTCTCTTAATAAAACGTAGGACACTAAGGGAATGTGCACTTTAAGAAGACAATAATAGTTTACTTACAGTTTGTGCTAGCCAATTTAATAATTATAAGTGTTTTTGTGCCTTCAAATCTGCATTTTTTAAATAATATTTTTCTTCATTCTGTTTTCAATTTGATATAAAGTTTTCATAGTTTGGTTTCGATAATATTGATTGATACTTTACTTTAAAACAACACTTAAAGTTTGATAAAGCATTGACATTTTTTTCCTACCTTGAACTTGAGCAATGTTAATAAATTCGTGTACCAACTTTTCAGAAATAGCTCTATTTATTTATTTATATTTTTGGTAAATAGCTCTATTTCATTTTATTTTTACTAACAACTCTATTTATTTTAGTTATTCACTTCCATCATTATTGTACTAACATTAATACTTTTTGTAAAGAATTTATTTCATTTTCAGGCTCCAGAAACAATTGCTAAGCGTTATTGTCTACTTACCTTGGGAAGAAGGTTTAGGAACGGTAAGGCAAAATTATGAAAATCAGTTGAGAAATTAAAGCTTCCTAGAGATCAACTAACTGCAAAAGTCCCTGCTGGTGTTCCTAAAGATCAATGGTCATCATTTGTAGACTATCATTTGAAACCAAGTTATAAGGTAATTCTATTAAATAGTGGTTGCTTGTTATTATTTTTTAAAGTTGCATTTTTTGTTAATAAATTATTGATATCATAGGAATTATGTGAGAAGAATGCTCAGATTAGAAAAAAACAAACTATTCCACACACGGGGGTTCCAAACTTTTGTCCCGAAGACGGCATGAGATGGTAAATTACTTGTGTTCTCTATATCTATATCTAATATATTTGGCATTTGTACTTATATGATTTCTATATGTTATAGGAGGAAGAGACCGGACACACTGTGAGTCGAGGCGAGCTATATATTGCAACTCATAAGAAAAAAGATGGGTCGTATGCGAATGACGAGGCAAAAAATTTAGTGGTAAGTTTAGAAATTTACTTGCAATATATACTCATTAGAAAAAATGTTTAACAAAAACAAACAAAGTTGGCCCAAGATGAGAACCGGTTTCTAGAAAATATTCTACGGATGCTGCTTCATGAATTTGTGGTATGTATAACTGTTGCCCTTGTTAATCGACTAGTCACTTGTTTTTTATATGCTAGTGATTATCTAGTTGGAATTCTGCAAATTTGTTTATTTTCTTGGGAAATCTCAACGAGTTACCAACGGTGCTTATGTAGGGATTTTTTTCTTTTGTGTGTCTATTATGCTTGTTATTTATGGATGCTAAAGTAATTGTACTCCATTAATCAAATGTGAGAGAAGTACAAAGCATCATGCTTGTTGAAAAATAAGCATTTTAGGGAGTTATTGAAGGAAAAAAACAAGACATTTAGAGAGAGAATCATTCTAATAGTATTTCTGAATTAATTTTATTATATATGGGTTCATTCTAATATATAGACCTATCTAAAATAACTAATTGCCTAAAATAATAACTAATCTATGGTAATAAAATATTTTACAATAATTACAATAAATTACAGAGAATATTATAGGGTAGAGAATGCAGGACTGTCGTGGGACTATTAGTCTATTGCAACACTTGCTTTATAGTAAAGAAGTTTTCTTGTTACTATACTGTAATGTTGGTTTAACTATATTGGCCTTCAATGCATATTATATTTCTCAGTATTATATCGTATGTGATAATTGCTCAAAAGTTAGTTTTTTGTTCTTTAGAATTTTTTTTCCAGTACTTTGTTGAAGTGTTTTTCACAGTTTCAGAGACTATTTTTTCCTACAGACTAAGCTTTTATTGTAGTATATCTCCTTAGAAATTAGAATAAAGACCGACACATGCATGAACTTATGGAAAATGATAATACTGTTTATGTACAGGATCAGATATATGAAGAATTAAACCAAAGCACTAGTTCTACTGAAATTTCAACAAATGATGTTGTTGCAAAAGTTTTTGGGCCAGAGCACTCGGGTCGTGTACGTGGTTTAGGCCTAGGTGGTCTTCCTAGCAATGCATTTGGACCCACAAGTGGACGATTCAATCCTATAGGCTCTACTTTCTCAAGTGCGAATTCAACTGAAAGTTCTCAATTAAAAGAAGAGGTTACTTCATTGAAGACTAAGTTAGCAGCATCTGAGGAGAGCCTTAAGACATTACAGACTGTAATGCTTGCATATATACAAATGAAGGAATGACAGATTCCTCTAGAGTTGGATGCTTTGTTTGGTACCACTTTTACTCCAGTGGTAATGATTTCATAATTTTTATTATTAATGTTGAACTTTATATTATTAGTTTAAGTGCCTCATTCTTTTAAGCATGCTAAAAGGGTACAATAAATTGGTTTTTCACATGATGAAGGGAGTGAAGAAGCTATCCCAACACGCGGAAGGTCTTCATTAGATAGTAATCACCCTTGAATTGGGTTATATGAATTCAATATTTTTGCTATGATTTTGGGTTCTGTAAAGTGATAAGTGCATCATTAGAGATTCGTATGGATTTTAGAGTTTTAAAATGGATTTATTTTATGTGTTTTTTGTTGTGGATAATTGTAAATTTCCTACTCTTTCTCATTTACACAACATTGAATCAACTTTATATCTTTTATGAATGTGTACAATTATAGTGAGGCATATTCTACTATGAATGTTGTTATGCCCTTCATTAGAGAAGAGAACATTATGTAAGTTTTTGTTTTGCTAGACTTTAATTCAACTTCATATTATAGTATATGGGTGTTAGAGTATATTTATACTTTTATTTATTTAAAAAAGTATTAACCAAGTGCAAGCATAAATAATAAATTGGCTAACAAATCAAGTGATGGCCCAATTCCAAAATTATGATATACACATTTTTTAAATTTGGATAACTAGTATTTAGTGGAGGTTTAAATATGCCAAAATAATAAATAAATTGTAGCAGTCTATGCCCTCTAGAAAATGATGAATTTTGTGGGGATATTGCGGAGGTTACTAAATCCCAATAAATATTACAACATTTGTGGGGGTCTCGAACCTCCAGAAAATACTTCAAACAAATTGTGGCACTGCACAAAAAAACTCCCACAAACTATGTTGTGACGAAGGCAGAACTAGAGGTCTGAGTGAATGCCACAAATGTCTTTTGTGGGGGTCAAAGACCTCCACAATATGAAAATATGACCTAAAAAAATCATCTCATTTTTTGTGGTATGTGTTTGTTGCGAAAAAGAAAAAAAAATGGGACATGCCAATGGAATAATTGAGGTCAGTTTTTTCTATGTGTGACCGTAAACCGTGATGCTGTTATTCGCTAGACTTGGGGTCGGTTTTTTGAACAGCCACTGAGATACCGCCACTGGATCACTGTTTTCTTGTAGTGTTATTACTCAATTGGTCATGATGATTTAGAAGATACGCAATCAATCTTAATAAATTTGATAAATTTAATTTTTTATGACGTCTCAACTCTCATGCTTATTTATTGCAATATTGAAACCTACTCGTGCGGTTAACTGTTTCCCAGGCGCAAATTGTAGGTAACTGCATTTAATGAAATATGGTTTTATAGGTTAACATTTTATCATTCAAACACTACATAAATAGCCATCTGCACTCATGCAATATACTACCAGATCTTCGCAATATGGCTTCCAAACCAGGCATTCTAACAGATTGGCCTTGGAAGCCTCTTGGGAGCTTCAAGGTTGACTTTGCTCTCATTACAACTGTGGCCTTTTTTTTTTTTTTTGTCATTTTACAGTTTTTAAAGTAATGATCAGGATCTTGCATTTCCTTATTTTCTTTTCCTTTTTTACCTCTAACTTTTTCAGTCCCTCTATTTGTTTTTTTTTTAATCCACTGATTTATTGATTATCCAACTAATTTTGTTCCAACATTATCAGACTCATTATAGAGATGACTCTTCCAAAATTATTTTTTCCATTCTTAGGACTCGAATTCGAGATTGTTGATTAAGAACAACAAACTCCTTACCACTTGAATCAATGATCAGTGGTTCTTCTTTTATTTTGGTAATATTGTGTCTGTATATTCTCTATAGATACTGTTGCTGAGCTCTCAATTTTTAGTTCCAAGAGTCAAATTTAAATTAAATTAATACTAGATGAAGTGTGAATATATATTTTAGGATAGCTTATCTCATTTTTTATACATTTTAACTATAATTCTAGTACATAAATATTGGAAATGGATCCTCTCATGTGAAAACAAACATGATATGGTCATGTGGGAAGATCACAATTATACAAAAATAAATCAAAGGTTATGATTTCGTAACTATCTATTTTATCATTTTTTCTCTCTTCTCCTTTATTACTATTGATTCACCTTTGTATGGTCATGATTCAACATATGACATGGTCATGTGAATTTTCACATGAGAAGATCCATATCCATAAATATTTGTGAGATAGGTAACTAAAATTCGACTGTATCTAGCTTTTTTCCCTACCACTTGCAAATCTTGTTAGGTGAAATAAATAATACGTTAATTATAACTACTCCATAATTAGATTTTTTTTTTTTGGTAACCGATCCTAATTACCTTTTTGATCTGAATTAGATTCTCCAGTGTTATCACAAGTTTGACTTTTTGAGCCACCTATAAGATTAATTCAAAGTATGAGATTTGTTTATCAAAAAAAAAAAAAAGTATGAGATTTGTGGTCTGAGATTACAATATTTCTTGATCCTCCCCAATATAGCATTTGGTGGGACTTGAAGCTTGGTTCTTGTCCTCACCTTACTCAATTCTTCTGCAACCAACTAAGCTGCCCACTTGAGTTCCAGAATTAGAATTTTCATAGAAACAAAACACTCAAATATTTCCATTGATGTTAATTGAAATACAATAACATTTAAGACATATGCATGTGTTTAAATTATACATTTTTTTTACACGCTCCAAGTGCTATACATTTTTTTTTTTTATATCATATCTATTGCGCATCTAAAGTCTAAAGACGAACAAGAGCTTATGGTTTTTCATTCCCCCTCTTAGCTATCTCTTGGGTCAACTCAAGTGACTGAAAATGTGTTTTTAAGTTATTTGTAAACTTAAAAAAAAAACAAAAACGAGTTACTATTTATTTTAGGGAAATATTACTCTCCTTTTACATGAGGTAACTTATCTCATTTTCTCTCACTCCGTTTTTCGCACCTCACTTTTTTCTTTTTTTTTTCTTTTTTCTTGTAATGGTGGGACCTACCCATTTTCTCTCTACCAAATCTTATGTGGAAGGAGATTAATAAAATCCTTTATTTTATTATTTATTCACGTATTGACATTGGTCTCTGTGTCTTTGTTTTCTATGTAACATGATTATGGATATTAAGTACGTGATTCTAGCCCCGTGGATTGCCCATAGCATATATTCTCTCACATCGAGTGAAAGGGACCCAGTGTACTATCTCATATTCCCAACTTTATTGGTGAGAATGCTTCACAGCCAGATTTGGATTTCTGTCTCACGCTACCGAACTGCTAAAGGCAACAACAGGATCGTTGACAAAGGCCTTGAATTCGAACAAGTTGACAGAGAAACCAATTGGTTCAAATATTTAATTTCTCTTTCTGTATTTCTCCTTAATTATTTTGCGAAATCAAATGATAGTATAAAGAAACTTTATTTTTTAAATTGTGACTGTGTAATTAAATATTTATTTTAAAGTGATGATTTAATTATTAAGATTGTGATTGAGTATATAATAATACTTGCAGGGATGACTATGGGATACTAATTGATTTACAACATTGTTCACTGGAAAATCCTCCATAGCTGCAATTTATGGCTACCTCTTTTACATTGATTTCATGAACTACTTGGGTCATTGTAACTTTGAGTTCTTTCCCAAGAGACTCTTCTCCTTCTTTCCCCAATTGAAGTATCTCTCTTACACGCCATCGTAAGTCTACATTATTATTGCTTCATCCTTAATTTAAGCAAATCAATTATAATATTCGTGATTTCATTTTCTATGATAAAAATCTACACTAATTTCTTTTCTCCTTGTTTTTCTATTGTTCTTGTCCAACTTTACGAAGCAATATATAGCAGAAAACTATTCTTAAACTTCACGGTAACCTCTGAAACAAATTGCGGAAGTTACCACAACAGAAATAAGCACGCATGGAAATTTCAATTTATATTTTCTCAGATTTTATTGCATATATACATAATTACTTTTCAGATTATATTTCTTTCTCCAGTTAATTTTTTTTGACTGCATCAATTTCTAAGATGACTGATATTCTTTCAATGACGGAAAATTGAACTCTTTTATTCATTTACATGTGTCTACGTATGTATAATTGCTTTTGAAATTTTATAGTAAGTACTAAAATTAATCAATATATATTTTATTTACAATGAAAATATTATTCTATATACATAAATGTTTTAACATAGAAAAAAATATTTGTCTTTTTAAAGGACATAACAATATGTCCTTTTAAGTGAATTTACACTGTTTTAATGTAATATTTAAAAATTATTTTTTATTTATCAGAATTTATTTTTTATTCATTTTTAATTGGCTAAATATTAGAATATATAAAACATTATGTTTCACTTAAAAGGACACAATGTTATATACTTTAAAAGTAGAAACACTTTTCACATGCATTAACATATTATGCAAAAGATATTAATTAAATAAAGAAGTTTTATTATTTATCACTCTTTGTTAAAATAATTATAAGTTTTAAATTATTGTGTGGCATTTAATTTAGTTAAGATAACCCAAAGCATGACCAGAAGCTGACTAAAAAATACTATAAAGTCTATAATGTCTATAATCAAAATCCGTCCTAAGTAGTTAGCTCTTGGTAAAAATTAAGGGCGAGCATGGTTCGACCGGAATAAATTTTAGTGTTGAAGCAAATTAAACTGATTTAATTAAATCGGTTCTTTGAACCAAAATAATTTTTTCCGAGCCAATTTTATTTTTCCTAATCTGATTTATGGTTCAAAACCAGTTTATGATTTATAATTAGTTTTGAACCAGTTTAGGATTGCAATCAACCATTTCGAGTTAAAATAGATCAGTTCAATTCTTCTAATTTTTCAAACCAATTCTCTTGGTTCAATTATTTTGTACGACTCTAGTCAAAATAGGTTGTCGAGACAAGATAGGCGTTATCGGCCGGCTAACAAGATAGGTGCCGAGTCAAAAAGTATAATATTTTAATGCATTTTACATGATTTGAGATAAAAGAATGAGTGGTGTAAAATGTTAATAGAACTAGGGTAGAATTGATCAATTCGATTATTTTGTAACACATGTTAGGACATTGTTATGGGCCGGCTAACCTGCACTATCACAGCCGGTCAGCACACTCAATCAGAACCAATTGGCACACACTTGTACCGTTCGGCCAACACAGCAAATAGACTAAGTCTCCTCCTCCAATTAGAAATGCAGAAGTAGAGATGGAGAGGAAAGAAGAATACACAACAGTTTTCCCGTGGAAAACTTTCTCCATTATGGAGAAGTAAAACCACGGGATACTAATTCAGAACAAACTTTCACTATAAAAATAATAGGTTACAAGAAATCAAACTTCACCAACAAGAGTGGTGGTACACTTAATCTTTATCAACAATGATGGTTTTTTCTCAAACTTCTCTAAATAGATCTCTCACTTTCAATCTTCTCTCTAAAGGAAAACTCAAAACTTCGACCATTAAAAGTTCTTACAGAAATGTTCTTCTCGACCTTTATATAGGTTGGGGGATCAACACTTCCCCTTCAGCTCTTCGTTAATAATGACGAAATGAGAAAATATTTATTTAATAGTTGAGAAAATCAAATCTTGAGCCTTGCACCCACAATATATGGTGCATGCTCAAGCCTCCAAGCTGTCAGCATTAAATGGATCAGGGACAGTGACCTACCCCAACAATACATACATACATATACACTCTATATGTAATATTCTTTATAGAGTATGTTTAACATGTTTTTGGTGAATATTAATTATATATTAATCTTTTCTTTTCCAAGTTAAGAAGGCTTTAAAAGTTTGGTCTCCGCAGGTTTCACTCACTGCATCACACCAAATTCAGGACAAATTACTCACTTTTCATGCCTATGTATGACTACATTTATGGTACTGTGGATACATCCACAGATGCTACGTATGAAACCACTCTAAAGAGACCAGAAGAGTCAGCAGATGTGGTGCACTTAACACACCTTACCACGTTAGATTCCATCTATCAATTGCGCATTGGGTTTGCTTCCTTAGCCTCCAACCCTCAAACATATAAATGTTACCTACGTTTAATGTGGCCCTTTACAATGTGTTATATGCTTATGACTTGGATCTGTGGACGCACCTTTGTTTTAGAAAGCAACACCTTCAACGATCTCAAGTTGCAGTCCTGGGTTATACCAAGATTTAAAATTCAGGTAAGATTGTTTTACATTTGTGATTTTAGATTTCGAATTCTCTTCCAAAAGAAAAGAATATTGATTAGTGATTATCAATGTGTTTGTTTTTGTTTTGCAGTATTTCTTAAAAAGGAAGAGCATCAGATTGAACAACTTAATTGAAGAGGCAATAACGGAGGCCGAGTTAAGTGGTGCAAAGGTTCTAAGTCTTGGACTTCTAAATCAGGTAACTTCATTTTTATTTACTTTTTTTGTATATCATGCAAAAAGCATGTTGAAAGTTTTGATTTTGACAATAAACGTCTGCTTTTCATTTTAACTTTTTAATTATTTGTTATTTGGTGATCTTATCACAATATTTATGTAATAATGCGATAGTAAAGAATGCTTAAATAATCAATTGTATGTGAGTAACATTGAGGTTCTCAAACTTCTTTACATACTATAATATCAAAAAGCTCTCGGAAGTAACATTTTTGAAAAATATTTGTCTAAATCACAGTCATTTTAGTTAAAATTATTATTATTTATTTAATATTTAAACTAAAATAAAAATCTCTCATTTCTTTCCACGATAATTTTTGTTTCTCTTACTATTTTGACTAAAATGATGCAATTTTATGTTCATTAAAAAGACAAACAATAATCCCTTCTATATATACTATAATAACCAAGTGTATGTGAATTGGCTACACATAAAAGAACTAAGATTTAGAGTAGTCAAAGATCTCAATAATATTTTATATAATTAAAATAATCAAATAAATTAGGGTTTGCAATATTTATAAATATTTGAAGGCAATGAAAAGCCAAATAACAAAATTTATGAAATTATTCTTATGGAAACAAAAGATAATAATTAAATAGAAAATAATTAAAAATTCTATGAAAACAATCCGAAAATCAAAAAAATGCTGCTGCTTATTACGAAATATGAACGTTGTTCAGAAAACCGATTCCAAAAGTTCGGTCAAGTTTGGGCCGATTATGATACAATCACCCCGCATGCATCATTCTAATTCTTTAAAAATCAGAACATCTGCAGTATTAACTTTATGGAAGTTATTATACATAAAAAAAAAAAGAAAAAAAAAACTTTATGGAAGTTAAATAATATAGTTGATTTGAATATTCTTACATGCATGCAGAGGCAAGTGCTTAATGCATATGGTGAACTTTATATTCAAAGGTTCCCACAGCTGAAGATAAAGATCGTAGATGGTAGTAGCTTAGCTGCTGCTACGGTGCTGAACAGCATTCCCAAAAGGACAAATCAAGTGCTTCTTCGTGGCAACTTTAACAAGGTTTCTTTTGCTGTAGCCGATGCTTTATGCAATAGAAATATACAGGTATACATGGTTAATATGAATTTGCTGCAAAGATTATGCATTCCCCTTCTATAGTAATCTGAGACAAATTTTTTATTATCATTGTGTGAAATAAGAGCATTTGCCATATTCTAACGAAATTTTTGATTATCACTCACTTTTCTTTGATTGGTATGTAAAATTAAATATAGAATTAGAGTTTAAAATTAGATTTGGACCTTTTAATACCAATAGGTATGTTTGAAATGTCATTTATTACTGGAATTGTAATTCTATAAACAAATTTTAAAAACAATTAGTACAAACCCTTCTCACCTGTAAATATATCTAGTATCCTATGAATTACTAATTCTAAAACTTTAAATTAAATTCTCTCTCTTTTTCTTCGTTAGTTTTTTAAATTTTTATAAAAGTAACATATGATTTTCCATTTAACATGGGCTACAATATAGTTACTACAAAAATGTTTACCACATTTACAACCAGCCTAATTTCTGTTGATTTTCATAAATCTAACAGTTTATTTTATTGGATTTATTGAGAATTAATAACTAATTAATAAGCGTAATATTCAATAAATTATAACCATTAGATAGAACAGAAATCAACGGTGATTAGATTGGTTGTAAGGATAGTAAACTTTTGTGGTGATAAGTATATCTTTACCCATATGATAAAAATGAAATAAAAATGTGATAACATTATGAAATGTTATTATTGTGTTCATATTTTTATTAATATTAGTTTTGTAACCGGATTTTATTTATAAATAGGGATAGATTATTCTATCTACTTTTTTTTCTCTATCTTTGCCTACCACTCTCCAATACCATTAGATCAGAATATCAACTACCTTTATCATTTCTCTCTTCTATTGAGATTCTAATCTAATAGTGTTGGAGAGTGCTAGATAAAAGTAGGTCAAAAAAAGATAGGTAGAATAATATATCCCTTATAAAAAAGGGATAGGTTATTTTACCTACCACTTTTTTTGCCTACCTTTGCCTACCACCCTCCAACACCATTAGATCAGAATCTCAAGAAGAGAGAGAAAGATAAATGCTAGTTAGGATTCTGATCTAATGATGTTTTCAAGCGGTAGGTAAAGGTAGGCAGAAAAATGGTAGGTAGAATAATCTATCCCTATAAATAATAGTAAATTTTTTTATTTGACTAATATTTTTCAATAGATTATTTTTTAAAGTAAATAATTATAATATTATTTTGAATAATAGTATGTTTTTATATTTTCTGAGTTAAACCGTACCTACTGTTTAATTATCTCACTCTCATTTAATTTCCAGCACTCATATGCTTTGAAATCTAATATTTTAATAATTATGATCGTAAACTTTTTTTTTTCTATACTCCTTTTTCCTACAAATAATTTTTATAAGAGATAATTTATAAATTAAATATTCCAAGATTATTATTGTAATAATATTTTACTTATTTTTAATTTTATAAATATTTTTTTTTGATTTTATATATTATACTAAAACAATTTAGAATTACGATTTGATATCCAGTTATTTGAAAAACCCAAACAATTTTTTTTAATATTTTAAACTAATTTTAATTATGAAATAATTGGAACAGAAATTCAAATTCTGTTTTTATTTTAAATTCCAACATCTAGTATTACTTAATTTAGTTGTTAAAGTTTATTCTAATGATGGATAAAATCGCAAACAGGTAGCTGTTTTATATAAGGATGAGCTGAAGAAGCTTAAACTAAAGCTCACACAGTCCGAGGGAAGCTTGACTCTTTCACCAATCAATATTCCAAAGGTTAATTCCATATTCCTAAATTATTGTGGGGCATATATTTATCACATTGTATGAGACAAAATTGTCTCATGCAACTAAAAAAGAGAGAGGAGGAATCCACTAAGAAAAAGAGATAGAAAGAAAAAATGGGTTACACCCACTTATTGTATGTGCATGAGATAATTTTGTCTCATATAACATGAGAGACATATTTTCTATTAAATTATTTATCATAACGATTTTTCTAATTATATAGGATTTTATTAGTCTCCTTTTACAAGAAAAGAGATATCTCTTGCTCCAGCCATGAGTCCCCCTTGAAAAAATAAAAAATAAAAATTAAGTGGACCCTACACATTTTGTAAGTTAATTGCAAAAACCTCTTATCTTCTCCGACGGAAGAATAATAAAGCCTATTATATATAAGGATTAGTGTTTTTCATGTTGCATGAGATGATTTTTTCTCTTACACATATACTAAAGTGTGTGAGGGCCATGTGGCACCATATGAAGAGAAGAGAAAAAAAATGACCCACATACCCTTTTATTTGTTAGTAAGAAATAAAATTTATCTTCTATAACATGAGAGACATTAAACCCTTATATATAATTGAAGAAAAATATTTTGTAGAGTATATATTTCGAAAAATGAAAATGATAAACCTCTATATATTGATCCCGAAGTACTAAAGAGAAGGACCAGATTATACTTGATATAGATTATTTTCAATTGCACTATGTAGATATATTTGAAAACTGTTATAAACCACATTTGATGTTTTAGTTCAAAATTGCACGAGATTTAGCACAACTCGAACAGGTGACCTCTCAGTTTAAAAAAATAGTTTTATCACTGTTCTTTGAAAATACACAAGATATTGTAAAGAAATTCATTCAAAAACTAATCAGCCTTCAACGAACCTCTGAAGTAGTCATACTATTCCATTTGGTAACATTGCGAATTTAGCAGATATGGTTGGTTGGAGATGGATGGGATGAAGATGAACAAATGAAAGCACCAAAAGGATCATTGTTCATACCTTTTTCTCACTTCCCTCCAAAGAAAATGCGTGAAGATTGCTTCTACCACTACACACCAGCAATGATCACTCCTACTACATTTATGAATTTGCACTCTTGCGAGGTTCGTAGCTGGTGCATTTTTGTAATCTTTAGCATATATTTTGTTAAAAAAGGTCAAGATCCGGGGTTGATGATATGCATATATATTTTTTTTTTTGAATACATGATGATATGCATATTACAACACTTTTACATATAATAATTTATCGCAAAACGATTTTAACTAATTCAGTCAATAAATTAAACTTTTGTTATCTGTTCATTAAGCATCTAAATAATATAAATAAAATTAACCAGATAATTATATCAATCGAACCCCAACTTAAAGAACCAATGTATCATTCTTGCTAATTTAGTTTTTAATTGTGGAAAATATTTTCTAATGTTACATGAGACAAAATTATGCATGAACACATAAAAAGTACGTGGAACTCATTTTTTTCTTTCTTTTTCTTCTCCTTAATTAGTGAGTCTCAGCTACTTTTTTTGTGTTGCATGAGATAATATGAGAAACATATTATCCAATAATTATTTTAATTATTGGATAACAAAATAGTTAGATCACTTAATTTCCAGAATTTAATGATCTATTTTTTCTGTCAAAAGCATTTTGACATTTTCAAGAAAGTTTTAGATTGATATATCTATGATAAGTAAGAGCAAATTAATTATATATTTTGAAAAGGTGTGTGTATATATATATATACATACATATATATATATATATATATATATATATATATGTATATATATATATATATATTTCAAAAAGCATTAAATTAATTACTCATATTTTTAATGAATATCTTTCATGTGTTGTGTGTTTTATAACATTATTGAATTAAAATTTACATAGCACATATAAATCACACTTATCATTTTAATTTGTTTTAAATTAATTTTGTACCAGTCTATATCTTCAGGGAAAAAAAATGTAGCCACACCAAAAAAAAAACACACACACAAAATGTATGTCTGTATATTCTTCAATTTATTAATGTGTCGGCAATGGTAGAGCCAAATTTTTTTTTGAAGGGTGCGAAATTATGATACAAATTTTTCCTTTGAAATTGCAGCTATTTATATGATAAAAAAAATAAAATGAAAGTGATGCTTACAACTAAAAGGTTTCAATAGATTTTGAAGGGGACGAATATTACTTATGTAACAAAAAAAATTAGAAGTAATATTCATTTCTAATGGTTTATATAAATTTGAAGGGCGAAAAAGCTCTCGTTAGCCCCTCCCTTGCTTCACTACTGTGTGTCGGTATGAATGTTCTAGAAGTCACATTATAATATGATAAATTAAAATTTTATATTTCTATCTCATATTCCACTTCAATCTCTTGTATGAAACACCTTTTTTCTTAGTTTTAGTCATCATAAAATGTCTGACATTCGTATTTAAATGTGAGAAAACTAATGTATTTCTATTTGTACATCACAGAATTGGCTTCCCAGAAGAGTAATGAGTGCTTGTCGTATTGCTGGAATACTTCATGCCTTAGAAAGATGGAATGTCCATGAATGTGGTGACACCATACTTGGCATTAAGCAAGTATGGGAAGCAAGTATTCGCCATGGTTTCCAACCTCTAAAGATTCCCATTGATTAAGCCTTTACAATGAGTTCAAATTACTAATATATTGATAAAGGTATCCTTGTCGTTTTATTTGTCAGAAAGTATTATGTAATAAACAAATAATAATCTTCTACACTTGATGTCATGTATGGATCAATACATTAGCTTGTTTTTGAATTGTGAAGAATTTATTATATATTAATAAATAAATAATAATCTTAATTTCATAATCTCTTTGTTTAATCTCTCTATATATATGGACAGACAAGTTACTTTTACACTTATATAAGAATAAGAAGTTTTATATCTTTTTATTTTTGATGATTGATTCACTTGTATCCTATCGGTGTATGGGTCACATCAGTTTATACCATTATATTCTCAAACTTCGTAGTTGTAATCAGCAACCAAATACTTAGACAAAAAGAATTTCATCAATATGAGAGAAGGAATTCATGATGTAATACCATTTGAGGTTATATCGACGAAGTTACAAACAAAATAAGCCATCGTACGTTTACAAATTTGTCTGCGAGATCGTGGACGATTGAGTGACACAGTATAGATCGTTTTCATGGATATAATTTCCCATGGACTTAAATATGGTTAAATTTTTGTCATTAACGTTCTATCTAAATATCCATTTAAATAAATAGGGTACATTTGCTGATAGACATAGAAATTGAGTGCTGGCATTTGGACTTAATTAGTTGTGTTTTGTCCGATATTTCATACGACATTGGCGACAGACTTTTACACTTTCTTATATTTTCAAGAAAATTTTCAAAGGATGTCACCGTCGATGAGGTATCCGCCATAAAGATTGAGTTTTTATCTGCTCTGGCACCGGTTTTTGCATTAAAAAATGATGTTTTGTTTTAATGCTTCAGTTTTAGCTTATGTTTCTCAACATCAACATGCTTTTCAATCATTTTAGATTTGGAATTAGTTCATCAACTATACTTCCTGCCTGTGGCAGAAGCTTCTACCAGAAATGATAAAAAGCTACCATAGATGAAAAGAAAAGAAAATAAGCTTTTACCTATTTGAATAGCATATTCTGTCAAAAGTAATTGTGTTCCGAATTGAGTAAAGTATATATCTGTTATATGGTCTCTCACACCAAGCAGTGAGATGCTCTTCTAATTTAACACTTTATTATTATGTAATATAACTTACAACATTATTCATGACACAGATTGTTAATAATTTGGTAACATTGTAGGTGTCACCCAAAAGATATCAACAATGTGGTCTTTCATCGATCATTCATACCCCTGGTTTGCTTCATGTTCAGATGATTGCTCAGCATATATTTTTCAAGGAATGGTTTACTCTGATCTCAATCAAAACCCTCTTATTGTTCCTTTGGAAATTCTACAAGGCCATACCCATTCAAATGGGAGAGGTGAGACCTGCTGTTTATGATTTTGTTATCTTTTGAATGTTAAGTTGAGATCCTGTTTTGTGCAAATCTTGTTTTTTCAAATCAACTTAGAGAGAGAAAAAATTGGTATTTTAAACTATAAAATCAATAAGATTTGTTTACATTGGCACAGTGTAACACCCCGTGTGCACCCAGCGTATTAAACATACATATGGTAATAGCGCAGCTAAATAAATACAGAAGCTAACTCTTTCTTTCCAATTATGAACTATTCATTATTAATCAAGTGGATTACTTATTCATTTTCAAGATATCGTCTGTGTGTAAATTGCAATAAATAACTGACTGAATAACCTCATAGTATAAATAACTGTATATCTAGTCACGAAACTACAACGTGTAGGCCGAACAATATCCTGATACATTATACAACTTAAGTAAACTCAAACATGACTGGTATCAATGTGGCATGGACAACCCTCATGCTCACCAAATAAGGCAACAAAGCCAAACAAAATCTCAAATCAAATAACAATATACTAAAAGTAAAACATAATCACTATTTAGACATGTGAGTAAAACAACATGCATAGTCAGCTCAACTCAACTCCGGCCTCCTGCCGCTAGAGGTATCAACCTCGGAGGTACCTGTACCTGAAAATGTGGTGAGATCTCTAAAAAGAAATCTCAGTAAGACAAGGGGTCCTCAAGGATCTCTCTACCCCAAGCTCACTTACATGTGCAATATAAGTTCCAAAACAGTAATAACAATATAATTTTCAAAATCTGTGCAATGCAGCATATATCCATGTCATGTGTGTAAGCATCCTACTGGCCAGAGAATAAAAGGTAGGGTTTACATACATCTACAACCTACAGTACAAAGCTCCTCGCATGTACCTCACTCACGGAGTTACCATCTTGTATGTCTCCATATACTCAGGGTTTACTGTCTAGGTGGAACATCACATACATATATTAATTAACATGTATTGACTGAAATGAACATGAGTATGTTTCTGTACTATGAAAGAAATTATGGCTTTATTCTAAAGACTGAGGATTTATGAAAATTGTAAGTTAAGTCACGACTAGAGTCATGGAATAGGACATAAACTCACTCAAGTTATTGTGTGGAATAGAGAATGAGGGTCAGGTCACCTCTACTGATAGAGTGACTAATGATCCTAGAGAAATGAATGACGATTTTGATGTTGATCACTTTAGACCCGGAAAGCGAGTTGGGAAATATTGCGATATTCTGTGTGAGGATGTTGGATCGGTATGGACACTAGATCATGAAAAGTTGAGTTAAGGAACTGTTCATCGATGTTGCTGCGACTTCAAGATGCTAGTTTTGAAATGTGTGCAAGTGAGTAATTGAACATCCACGATTTAAGGAGCGTATTGTTCGAAAATTTTGAGGAATATACATCAAGGAGGTAATCCTTCCATGTGCATTGACCTGAGATTTTATTCTCGGATTGTCGAAGATTTAGATCTTCTTCGACTCTGTTTTGGTTGTCTTGGACATGACAACTTGTCTGCCCAAATTTTTGCCTAGGAAGGCAAGCTCTTCCACGGAGCGGTTGGCTCAATGTTACATTAATGTGATAATAAGAACTTCATGGGGTATATGAGAGCATTGTCAATGATCGGTACCCGAAGTTCACCTCTTTTGTTGAGTGTATTGCAAAAAGCTTTCTTCACTCACTTGAAAATAAGTACTACACATCATCCCCTGATGGATGGTCAAATTGTGTGGATCCTCCCAATAATGGAGGAAATGTTGAGAGCGTGTCCTCTATGGCAGAGCATATCACGGATATATACTTTTCACGGTGTAAATGAATTCAAAATACTATTGAACATAATTGATTAGAGATAACTTAAGATAGAACTACGGAGGAGTGCACTTGGGAGCGGGAGGACTAGCTTCTCTTGTAATACCCCGAGTTTAGGGACAAGTATCTCTCTAATTTTGCGGACAAAATTCTTAAAAGGTGAGGTGAATGTAAGAACCTGCACCGTTAAATTAGGAATTTAAATAATTTAATTACGAGTTTAAGAAATAATTTATAATTGGCCTTGAATAAATATGGAAAGATTAGAATAATTACACAGAGGTTTAATAACGCTGAAAGTCGCTTTTCTGACGAAAAGTACATATACCGGTTCTGCTTCTCGGTATAATTGCGTACCGATGGTGTAAGAACCCGCACCGTTAATTAAGGTATTTAATTAATTAATTATGAAAAAATAGGAAATGATTCCATAATTGACTTTAATAATTATGGTATGTGATTAAGAATGCTGGAAGTCGCTTTTCGGAAGAAAAGTGCAGATATCGGTTCTGCTAGTCAGTATAAATGCGTACCGAAAAAGTATCCCGGAAAATTAATGTAAGTGCATGATAATTACTAGAATAATATGTAGGACTTGTAAAACGAGTTTCAAGTCCAAATAATGAGAACGGGTGATAGAAACCGGTACTGGCTCTGAAAAGCGCATACCGGAAAGGTGCTTAGAAAAATATAATAAAAATATGTTAATTCTTGGAAAAATGTGTAGTTTCTTAATCCAAAGTTTGGGATTAAAATGCTAAGCGTAGCAATTAAAGTTAATATTGTGTGTTAATGCTTATGTGGCCTATTTATACACTTACTAAGGGCACATTGCCCTAGATACCAGAATTCCTGCGTGAGAAGAGGCTGACCAGCTGCTTGAGCACTGTTCCATTGGTCTCTTTCACCTTCTCTTGAGCCAAGTTGGGACCTTTGAGCATTGATCCTTCTCTTTTCTTCTTGTAAACACTTGAGAGCATCTTTGTTGAGTGAAAGGAGAGTCTTTTGGTGAGTGTCCAGCTGCTGTGAGAGGTGTGAGGGAGCTGTGTTTTCTGTTCTTGAGGGGTGTGACCTTTTGTTGGCATTTTGATGCTCCAAGATGCCTTCTTGTTGAGTGAAAGACCTACCTTCTTGTTCATTTTCGTGCATCTACCTTGAGTCAGACTTGAGGGGCTGTGTTGAGCTCCAAGAGCATCTCCATTATGAGTTTTGAGCCTTGGTATGTTGTACCAACCTTTAACTTGAGTTTTAAGGCTTAAAAATGGTACCTTGATGCATCTAATGACTAAAAGATGATAACTTGTTGTTGGGTAATGTTGAACACGCCTAGAAATGCATGATTAGGTGTTTAAAATCGGTAAAAAGGGAACCTTTTAGGGACATCTTCACGAAAATGCAGAAACTGCATTCTGTCGTGAAATATCCGGATATTTGTCGAACAGATATTCGGATATTGGATATCCGGATACGTGGTTTTGGGATATCCGGATATTGTGTGAATCTGTATATCCGGATATTGCATATCCGGATATGGTCCCGAGGAATATCCGGATATTCTGGGATTTCTCAGAACAGTAGTTGTGCTGTGTGTACAATAGGCTATTGGGGGTTTGTGGACCCTAGTTTGATGAAGTTGAACTTCTGTATTTATTGGACTAAGCCAAAATCATGGGATTAAGGGCTTGTGGCTTTGTTAGAAGCTTTAAGACTTGAAAACGTAATGAAAAGGCGTTGTCTTTAATTTGTATGCATATGGTACATGTTTATTGATTTATATTTGGTCCATATCAGATTGTGATCTGCTGTGATTGGACTTTGAGCTTGTGGCATTGGATAGCTAGCATAGAGG